CTTTCCCTCTGGGAAATAACAGAAATGCCTTATTTACAGTAAGCTCACTGCTTGCCAAGGAGAGCAAATCACTACCGGGATGGAAACAGGCGTGGAATAAATATGAGAAAAAACACTCTGCTGTGTAGACAAAACATGGGGCCCTGGGTGTAGCTCTGCAAGAGCATTTTTGTGCCTTCTGTAAGAATATTCTGGGTATTTCAGCAGCTAAATAATCAGAAAGAGTCCTCCTGCTGCCTGTGCATGGGTGCAAACCACTGTTCTGGAAGAAGCCATCTGCCACTCTGTGATGGCCAGGATGGGCTGTGTGCCCTGGTGCCACTGCCCCATCGCTGGGTGACCCCAGCATCTCTCCTGTGTGAGTAGATAAACACCCTTGGACATTCCTACTTTAACTTTGTGTGCTGTTTGCAGTATTTTAGCAAAATCTTTGAAGGAAGGTCATGCAATGTAAAAAAAAACCCAGAAGATTAAGAAAATACTATTTTGAGTTAAAAAATAGATGACAGCTCTTAAGAAGTGGTGTCCTGGGAACATCTGTTTGCTGTTAAACTCCTGTCAGAAATAATCTAAGATAGAGCTTTTAATGTTTTGGGTTGCAGTAGTTAACAAATGACTTGCAATACTGAGATTTATTTCAGCACATAAGGTAGAGCAACACTGATAAATAAAATACCTGTGTTATAACTTTGTCTTGGTAGGACCTAAGCGCATCAATTAACTATGAGAGAAGTCAAATTTTCTAATTTAATATTCCTTGCATTTTTTCTTGTTCCCCTAAATACTTTTCCATATTTTATCCTGCTTTTTTTTTTCAGGAGCAGATGAGCAAATAACAGATGTAAAGAGGACTGTAAAATCTAATGTCTCCGTTCAGAAGAGGCAGAGCAGTTCCACATACTGCAGCTCTTGTGCTGGCGAATCCCCTGCTTTAAAGGTATGAAATATGGGAACATGCCCTACCATAAACACAAATATTCTGATATAAAAATACTCTTCCCCTTATGTTTTAGGCTTGGTTTTCAGATAACCTTTCTGATAGTGTGGTTCCATGGGTTAAGAATATGGAGAGAAATTACCCTTAGAACTGATGTGGCTAAGACAGCAAAACCAGCAATGCAGATCACCCAACAGGGATCCCTTTGGTTTAAAAAATGCTTTCCCTTTGATTTAGAAAATGCTTGTACTGACAGGAATTCATCTGCAGTGGTTATTTATGCTGATAAAGTGAGCATGCTATGTACATGTGTAAGTGTGTGTGCATATGTACATGTATATACATACACACATATGTATGTGGGGGAGTCACCATCCTTGGAGGTGTTTAAGAAAAGACTTCCCTTTGGTTTAAAAAATGCTTTCCCTTTGATTTAGAAAATGCTTGTACTGACAGGAATTCATCTGCAGTGGTTATTTATGCTGATAAAGTGAGCATGCTATGTACATGTGTAAGTGTGTGTGCATATGTACATGTATATACATACACACATATGTATGTGGGGGAGTCACCATCCTTGGAGGTGTTTAAGAAAAGACTGGCATGGCACTTAGTGGTCTAGTTTAGTTGATGTGGTGGTGTTAGGTCACAGATTGGACTCAATGATCTCAGAGGTCTTTTCCAACCGTAATGATTCTGCGATGTGGATATATAGCTATATGCGTACATGCACAAAGATATTTATGTATATATATTCTCCATGAATATCTATTGTATGTATTTTTATGTTTTTATCTATGTATTTTCTATGTATATATACAAACATACAACATAAATAAACACACACAAGAGTGTTAGATATATCTCTACATAGTTACATAAAGAAAAATACATATATATGATGTCATTCCTGGTAATGTTCTGTGCATGTCCAAGAGTTTGACGTGCAGGGCCTTTCCAACTCTGACTATTCTGTGATATATAAATAAACATACATATACAGAGCCAGGAGGTGAGGTCTGGAGGCACCAGTGAGGGTAAGCCGTGGCATCTCCCTCCTGCCCAGCCTACACACCGCGTTTTACACTGCAGGTCCCTGGCACAGCACACCCAACCCACCTGGTGTGAGTCACTATGTCTGTCAGAGCTCCACCCTCCAGAAACTCCATCACAACCCACAGCTCGTCGCCAACAAGGTAACTGTTGTACATGTCAACCACATTCTCGTGATGGTAATCTCTCATGATTACAACCTGAGAGGCAGAAAGAGATGATATGTGAATTGCTACAAGCATTACCTGAGACTTGTTCTGACCCTCCTCTTTCACTGTACTTTTCTCTTAGTGCTTCGTAAAAGTTCTGCTGTGAATCACATCCTCACTAATCCTTATGCCAATGCATAAACAAAATCAGCATATTGACATAAAAATATCAGCCATTGTAAATGCATTAGGAGGAAGACAGAATCTCTAGTTGCTAAAGTATAAGCAGTAGATAATTGTTTCGGTCTGCAGGAACACAACTGTTTACTTAATTGGGTTTTTTTTTTATTGCAGTTGCTTTCAGTCCAACAGAGATGCGTTTTTTACCTGATCAGTCACTCAATGTATCAAAGTCCTCTTCATCATGTACCAAATGGTACTTTGCACAGAATTTTATCAAAATTCTGGTAATAGAGGGGATATTCATAAGACAACTCAAATCCCACATCTGTACAGGCTGGGCCAACAGTAAGAGCAGCCCAGCCAAGGCAGTGACCACGAGCATGTGGTACTGAGGGCTGTCAGAACAGTGATCAGGAGAGAAAACAACAGACAGGAAAGGCTTCAGTATACACACAGGAGTTTCAGCACTGCTGAAGACAAATTTTCAGATGACATGAGTGACTGGAGCATGTCAGGGAAGCAGCTTGGTCCTGCACAGCATGTAGGACTTGCTTCAAGATGTTACCATTCAAGAGATGCTCAGTTAGATCTAGCACAGCCCAACTTAGTGCAGCCTTCCAGCAGAGGCAAAGCCAAGCCCAAATACCCAATACAGTCACGTACTGTGCAAAGGAGAACTGGGTGAAGTTTGTTAAAAGCCAGTATTTTAATTAACAAATGTTTAGGTTTTAAAGAAAGCAGTCTGACATGTGCTGAGGGGAGACCCATTTATAGTTAAAATACAGGAAATCAGATAGAATTAAAAGGTTGTACTCAAAAGAGGTTTCCCTAGGGACCTGCAGTGGTTTTGGTATTGATCAACATATATACAAGATCTTGAAAAGGGAGTGGAAAATGCACCCCACTAGCCTCTTTAAGGGAGTAAGAAGCAAAAAAAGGAGAAACTCTGCAAGATGCAAAAGGAACTCTCAGCATCAAACAACTGGATGAAAAACTGGCAAATGAAAGCCAGTGTTCTGAAATTTAAACTGATGCACAAGGGGAAAGCAGTCTCCCATAAGCAGCTATGGGCTTTGGACTGGCTGCAACCACTCAGGAAAGGAGATGTGGGAATTAGCACGAAAGGTTGCATGTAAAAGGGACTGTCAGCTCTTAGCTTTGTAACCAGCTTGAACAGTCTGGTTAGTTTGGATCTTCAGCCTTGGAAGAATAAACTATGCCAGAAAAGGGTCAGATAAAGGCAGCTGGACTGTATCTGTGCACCTGATAAGCTGCATGGACCAGCTGATACATTTCTTAGGCTTTCATTCTGACTTCCCACCACATTACAGGTTTAAACCCAGGACCAGATGCAGCTCATTTAAAACTGGCCTGGTTATACAATATTTATACAGCATAGATGCATGTGGGACTCACTGTTTTAGAAAGATTTGGCTCTTGAGGTGCCATTTGACCCACATGTCTGGTTGAACCTGTTGCCCGCAAAACCCAGCACACCACCCAAACCAACGAACCTCATTGAAGAGCAGTTCCCTTCTCTGCTGTTTCCTGAGATCCATCTTCTTCACAGCCACTTGCTTTCCCGTGTGCTTCTCGGTGGCAATGCAGACAATCCCTGTGGAGCCCTCCCCGATCTTGATGAAGTTGTCCAAGTACTCTCGAGGGTCACCGGGGCTGACCACGAGCTGCAGGGCAGCTCTGAACTGTTCGTGGGACACCCTGGAGGGCTGCTGGTCCGAGGAGGATCCCCAGCTGGGTGGAGGATAAGCACTTGACGTGATACTTGGGGAGCTGGGGTAGGAAGCGGTGGAAATGTAGGGAGAGCTGGGCTGGAGAGATGGGTGATGATAATGGGGTGCTTTGTGGTAGACCAGCGGGTACTGGTAGCTGCTGCTTGAATAGCTGACTTTGCTCTGACTTTGAGGTAGCTTTACTGGGCCCCTGGGATAGGTGTCCGACCCAGAGAGTGGTGGGCTAACGACCATCTGAGCTCGATCATAATCCACCTGCAACACAAAAGCAGAGGAGTGAACATGGGTGAGGATGTGGCACTCAGTGCCATGGTCTAGTAATGATGGTAGGGTTGGACTCGGTGATCTTTGAGGTCTCTTCCAACCAGGTTGATTCTATGATTCTATGATGCACTTGATTTGTTTTCGGCACCACTGGAGGTCCTTGGGGGATACTGACACAATGTGCTCCCACATGTACCTGTTCTCCTCAACATGACACTGCTGCCTGTGTCTGAACAAAGCCATTGGGCTGCCGTGCTCTCATTGGCACTAACATGAGGCCAAGGAAGACCATTAGATCTTTCGAGCATCTCAGGCCCATTCTTCTGTCCAGGTATCTGTTTGTAGATACAATAACCTTTGTTTAGTGGAAGTGTATGCTCCAAAAAGTGTATTTCATAGAATCATAGAATTTAGGGGTTGGAATGGACCTTATAGATCATCTAGTCCCAGCTCTCCCTGCCATGGGCAGGGACACCTCCCCACTAGACCAGGTTGCTCAAGGCCTCATCCAGCCTGGCTTTGAACACTGCCAG